TTATCAACATTTAGAGTACCGTTCAAGCTGATACAACAACTCCGGTATTTGTTATGACTAATTATCAACATTTAGAGTACCGTTCAAGCTGATACAACAACTCCGGTATTTGTTATGACTAATTATCAACATTTAGAGTACTGTTCAAGCTGATACAACAACTCCGGTATTTGTTATGACTAATTATCAACATTTAGAGTACCGTTCAAGCTGATACAACAACTCACGTATTTGTTATGACTAATTATCAACATTTAGAGTACCGTTCAAGCTGATACAACAACTCACGTATTTGTTATGACTAATAATCAACATTTAGAGTACCGTTCAAGCTTATATAACAACTCAAGTATTTGTTATGACTAATTATCAACATTTAGAGTACTGTTCAAGCTGATACAACAACTCCGGTATTTGTTATGACTAATTATCAACATTTAGAGCACCGTTCAAGCTTATATAACAACTCAAGTATTTGTTATGACTAATTATCAACATTCAGAGTACTGTTCAAGCTAATACAACAACTCCGGTATTTGTTATGACTAATTATCAACATTTAGAGCACCGTTCAAGCTTATTTCACAACTCAAGTATTTGTTATGACTAATTATCAACATTTGGAGTACCGTTCAAGCTTATATAACAACTCAAGTATTTGTTAGGACAACTTATCAACACTTAGAGCACCGTTAAAATTCATAGAACAACTCAGGTATTTATCATGCCTACTTATTAACATTTAGAGTACCGTTCAAATTCATACAACAACTCAGGTATTTATCATGCCTACTTATTAACATTTAGAGTACCGTTCAAGCTGATACAACAACTCCGGTATTTGTTATGACTAACTATCAACATTTAGAGTATCGTTCAAAGTGATAAAAAAAGTCAGGTATTTGTTAGGACTGATTATCATCATTTATAGTACCTTTCAAGCTTATATAAAAATTCATGTATTTGTTATGACTAATTATCAACATTTATAGTATCGTTCAAGTTGATACAACAGTTGTATGACTCAACTTCAGTGTTAGTTCCAAACACTATAACTGACGAATAAAACAGTTTATAATATATACATTTAAATCTTTAAAAATCTTGTTTTTTATGTTTGCCTCTTTGCTGTCTCATACATTACTTTTACATTTCAGACGAGTAAGCTAAACGGTGAGGGTACAAATAAAGGAGTATATTTAATGCTAGAGAGTACCTATACAAGAATGTACTCAGTGTTAGAAAGTATAAATACAAGAGTATACTTAATGTTAGAGAGTACCTATACAAGAATGTACTCAGTGTTAGAAAGTATAAACACAAGAGTATATTTAATGTTAGAGAGTACCTATACAAGAATGTACTCAGTGCTAGAAAGTATAAATACAAGAGTATATTTAATGTTAGAGAGTACCTATACAAGAATGTACTCAGTGTTAGAAAGTATAAATACAAGAGTATATTTAATGTTAGAGAGTACCTATACAAGAATGTACTCAGTGCTAGAAAGTATAAATACAGGAGTATATTTAATGTTTGAGAGTACAAATAAAGGAGTCTATTTAAGGTTATAGAATACCTATACAAGAATGTACTCAGTGTTAAAAAGTATAAATACAGTAATCTACTTAATGTTTGAGAGTGTAAATACAGTAATCTACTTAATGTTTGAGAGTGTAAATACAGTAGTCTACTTACTGTTTGAGAGTATAAATACAGTAATCTACTTAATGTTTGAGAGTATAAATACAGTAATCTACTTAATGTTTGAGAATATGAATACAGGAGTTTACTTAAAGTTTGTAAACAGTGTGGAAAGAAACAATATGCGCATTACAAGACATTTAAAAATTAAATCAATAATAACTTAATCATTCTATTTTCTCCAGCCTCTTATATCACAAAGACAGAATCCTAGCGTGTGATTATTACGCGTTTCCGAACTGTTGAAAGAAAAATTATGTCTGTATAATAGACGAGTTCTTAAAATTAACCTACAATGTTTTGTTACAAATAAATATGTGTGTGTATATTACCTACAATGTGACTCTAAAAAAATAAACAGTCAACTCGCGAGTTGTTCAGGAGTAGGAGACTATTATTATCTTGCATTAATTTTTAGCAAAAAATATTTAATCATTTAGAGAATAAAATCGTGTGTCATCTGTTTGTTTGTTTGTTTTAAATTTCGCTCAAAGCTACACGAGTGCTATCTGCGTTAGCCGTCCCTAATTTAGCAGTGTAAGACTAGAGGGAAGCAGCTAGTCATCACCACCCATCGCCAACTCTTGGGCTACTCTTTTACCAACGAATTGTAGGATTAACCGTCAGATTACAACGCCCCCACGGCTGAAAGAGCGAGCATGTTTGGTGTGACAGGGATTCGAATCCGCGACCCTCAGATTGCGAGTCGAGTGCTCTAACCACTTGGACATGCCGGGCCTGCGCTAACCGTCCTTAATTTACCAGTGAGAGACTAGAGGCAAGGCAGCTAGTCATCTCTTGGGTTACTCTTTTACCAACGAATAGTGGAATTGACCGTCACATTCTAACGCCCCCATGGATGAAAGGACTTCATGTTTTGGTGGGATGGGGATTCGAACCCTCAAATTGCGAGTCAAGCGCCCTAACCACCTGGTCATGTCGGGCTCAGAAATACAGCCTGCTAGATATAGATTTAAAACATTACGAAGAATAGCCATTAGAAAGTGAAAGTAAAATACAGGAGATTTATCTTTATGTGTTCCTTAGTGGCTCAGCGGTGAGTCTGAAGGCACAGCACATATAGCTTATTATGTAGCTTTGCGCTTAACAACAAACAAACAAATTATCTTTATGTAAGGTTACAGAAAGGTTGGCACTGGGGACCTTTTAGTTACCATTGTCATGATTTCTTTCAGCCCTTGTTATGCTTTAGTTACTATTTTTGTGTTGTGTTTTACAGGCGTACTAACTAATGGATGTAGAGAAGGACTCGTCTCTCCATGAATTTCCACCTGTATTTGAAGACGAATGCTCTATGATAACTAGTATGGATCGATCAGAGCGACCACGTTTTCAGGAATCTCTAGACAGTGGTTACGAGGCTTCACCTTCTCGGAGCAGCTGTCAAGAAATGTTCATTTTCGGTACTGATATTACCACAGAGGGGCCACTTAGAGATGCAGATTCGTGTGATGTGGATCTAGACGAACAACCACTAGAATTGGAAACCCACGAAAGTGACCCTTGTGGAAGAAACGGTCATTCTTGTCTTTGTGTTTGTGGAGAAAACCAGAATTGTTGCTCATCGTCTTCCTGTAGAATTCAGTCTATATGTGGAAATGAAACTGACGATAGTGGTTCTCCCAGTTCTGTTAGCCATTCTCTTCCAATTTTCATCAGTCCTCATTCTTCTAGAAATCTCCAGACCAGAAATGTTTTTTTATCCTCCTCCTTCAACACGGTCATACGACGCAGTTCCTACCCTCATGCCAGTCCAACACGTGCTCCCTTGGTGTCTTCTTCTGCTTCATGCCAGTCTGGTCCAACCTTTCGTTTCTTCCAGTCCGAAAATGTCATTGACCGCACCCATTGTGATTGGACAATTGGTGGAGATTCGCTTCCTCTAGCAGGAAGCCAAACTATTTCTGTTGCAACACAGACGATATTCGAGAACCCAGTTGAAAGAAATGATTTGAACGGAGCTGTTGCACCATCAAGAAGTGAGTAGAACATTTAGTACGTTAATAAGGAGGTTTTTAGACGTTCTTGAAATGTTATATTTCACGCAGATACCACAGTAATGATGTGTACTTGCAGATTAGTCCAAGTTCCTATTAATCAATAATTATTTTATTATAAGTTGAGTTCTTGAATATAGATGAACAATAAAAAAATATCTGGCTGTAGGAAATCAGTAGTATAAACATATTTCGCGTTAGAGGTTTTTTACAATCAGATAACTGAACCATAGTGTATGGTTGTACTAAAGATTGGCGAATAAAGTAATGACGTAAGTTTAAATATCTTGTCAACATTTCGTACTGCATGATTGAACAGATTCTTGAAAAATCGAAAAGTAAGATGATGGTCGGAGGCGTCTTTAAAGGTTTATTAAGAACAAGTATTTGAATGTATGAAAGAAATAGTTAATATCAGCCAATCAGAAGAGAAGTTCTTTGATACCGATAATACTTAATCAAACGTTTCTTTAAATTTTAAAGATCACTCAAATTACGAAGATTCTCAATTAGATCTTAGAACTCAGAATCTACATCGTAATATTTTGTATTAGGAAGTACCTAGCTTAAGTGTTTTTGACAAAGTATGTTATACTTGGGTTTCCACTGACACTTAATTATAGAAGTTAAGTTGGCGTTGATGATAAAGTTTTGAAACTATACAAACAAATCAGTGACTGGATGGTTAATTTCTTAAAGTTTTAGGTGATTAGGGGTTTGGAAGGAAATTTGAACATTGGGCATTAAAGGATCAAGTTAAAGTTATTATAGTATGACGTGTATGGAAAGGAGAACTTCGTTTTGGGTACGTTTTTTAGTTTTTATTCTTAACTCCGTTTAACGCAAACTGGAGTTTATTATGAGACATTTCTATAAAGGTAAATATAATCACGACCTATTTGTTTTTTGTACCTTAAGCTGTCTTACATAATGTACACTTGTACACCTTGTATATCTTAAGCTGTCTTACAAAATGTACGCTTGTACACCTTGTATATCTTAAGCTGTCTTACAAAATGTACGCTTGTA